ACCAGGACTGAACCAGGACTGAACCAGGACTAAACCAGGTGTCGGGTTGGAGGTGTGCCCGCGTAGACTGATCAGGACTGAGACCGGGACCAGACCAGGACTGAGAGTGGGATTGAGACCGGGACCAGACTGGGACCAGGACTAGGACTGAACCAGGACTAAAAAACGACTAAACCAAGACTGAACCAGAACTGAACCAGGACTAAACCAGATTTCGGTCTCAGTCCCTGGTCTGGTCCTGGTCGGGTCCCGATCACAGTCCCGGTCTCAGTCCTGGTCTTAGTCCTGGTCTCAGTCCTGGTCTGGTCCTGGTCTCGGTCCTGGTCTCAGCCCTGGTCTGGTCCTGGTCTGGTCCCGGTCTGGTCCTGGTCTGGTCCTGGTCTGGTCCCGATCACAGTCCTGGTCTGGTCCTGGTCTCGGTCCTGGTGTCAGCCCTGGTCTGGTCCTGGTCTGGTCCCGGTCTGGTCCCGGTCTGGTCCTGATCTGGTCCTGGTCTGGTCCCGGTCTGGTCTGGTTCCAGTCCCGTCACTGGTCCCCTGGTCTGGTCCCGGTCTCAGTCCTGGTCTGGTCCTGGTCTCGGTCCCAGTCTCGGTCCTGGTCTGGTCCCGATCTCAGTCCTGGTCTCAGTCCTGGTCTGGTCCCGGTCTCAGTTGTGGTCTGGTCCCGGTCTCGGTCCCGGTCTCAGTCCTGGTCTCTGTCCTGGTCTCAGTCCTGGTCTGGTCCCGATCTCAGTCCTGGTCTCTGTCCCAGTCTGGTCCTGATCTCAGTCCCGGTCTCAATCCCGGTCTCAGTCCTGGTCTAGTCCCGGTCTCGGTCCTGGTCTGGGCCCGGTCTCAGTCCTGGTTTAGTCCTGGTTCAGTCCGTATGCAGCACAAAAGTCCGGCATCGCAGTTTAAGTCATGGAAAACAATACAGAATAAGAAATACATTAAAACCACAATAAAAACAAATCCAAACATAAACAATCATCATAAAATTAAAAAGAAAGAGATTAAATTAGAGAGAAGAGAGTGCGGAATGAAAAATGAAAATGACTCAGTTTTTAGTTTTAGTTTTTAGTTTAGTTTCTGTGATTCACAAGGACGCCACGTTAAAACAGAACCTATATGAAAATTGTACTTTCATGCGCAGACCACATGAGGCGTCCCCTCGTCTTGAACCTCTTCAGAGCTGGATTTGGATTTTGATTCATCCATCTTTGACTAACACCGTCCTGCGCTGGAGACTGGAGTGCTCAGGAAATGTCAGCTCTCACCTTCTACCCCATATCTCTGCCCACATCTCTGTACTTACTCAAAAGATTCAGACTCCACTTATAGTTCAAAATGTCACATAGCCATTTTTCAGCAATAAATCGCACTTCTGCAGTTTCGAGCAGTGGGTACGTTTTAATAGTAATGACTCTGGTGAGGTTTAAGCCGTGTTTTAATGTTGTTACCTCATTAAAAAACAGACCTGGAGTTGTGTTTTGTTTGAAGTAATCCTTTGTTATTTGTCTGTCTACATCTTCAAAGCTCAAAACACTCTGTTCCACCCTGTGATGTCATCAAGCCACTACCTTTTACTAGGAGTGTGACGATGTCCAAGTCTCATGATAGGATATCGTCACGGTGTGAACCTCACGATACGATATTTACTGTGATATCGTGGGAAAGCTCACAGTTAGGGATGTAACAATATCCACATCTCTCTGTATGATATTTTCACCATGTACATGTCATGGTTCGATATTTATTGCGATATTTTGTGGAGGTTAAACAGCTAAAACTGGAAATATTCAATTTTTTCCTCTTAAAATGCCTTGACAAAACTTAATCCAAAGAACTAAGACTTAAAAGTGCTTAGAACTGTTATTTCTTCTTGTATTCTGCACTGAAATCGAGCAAAGGATCAAGGTCTATGTCACAGGTGTCAAACATAAGGCCCGTGGGCCAGAGCCGGCCCTCCAAGACCTTTAATCTGGCCCTCGGCTGATTTTCTACTAAAATATTTTAATTCTATTTTTTATTAAAATCTTGTTAATTTTCTGTGGTGTTTATCACATCAGCATCTCCAGTGTCTCTGTACGTGGCCCCTCCCACCAGAGCAGCACAAATGAAGACTTGTCTCTTTCCAAACGCTCTTAAAGGACGATCGTTTTGACTGTTGATCGTGACACCCTCATCAGAAAAATGTCAAAAATGAGAAAAGTGCAGCTGAGTGCAGGATTTTACAACAAAAATGTACTTATTCCTATTTCTACAAGTTAATTTTAAACAAGTTCATGTTAAAACATTGTGTTGAAATTGTATTTTTCTTAAAGTTTCAGGTTGTTCATAATATTTTGTAAAAGAAAGAGTTCATCAATTAAAAAAGATTTCTGTAGTAGATTTGTGTTTCTCTGCACAAATATTTGAACTTATTGTTATTTTTGGGGTTTATTTGTCATGAGTTTTCTGATCCGGCCCTTTTGGGATCAAAGTAGGTTGGATACGGCCCCCGGACCAAAATGAGTTTGACACCCCTGGTCTATGTAGTTCCCTCTGTCTTTTTTGCTGCACCGTAACTCTTAATTTAAGCAAAGAGACTTGTAATTTGATATATCATGATGGCCCATGATATTTTTGTGAGAACTTTGATGATACGATATCATGATATTTCAGTTATTGTTACATCGCTACCTTTTACCTTTAGTTCAGTAGAGATTGGAAATTCCAGTTCTAAAATAATCAAAATGATTGTAGTCAAGCTGTATTCAGCATAAACACATATATAAATATATATTTATTTATTACAGTAACACAACAACATGACAAAGCAACATATGGATGTAGATACAATATAGTAAAGTTCAGATGAGATTGCAATGCCTTGATACAAAGTCCAGTTCACAGTTATGGCAGGTGTGGAAAGTGGAGAGATGTACTTACACATATATACATACACATACATATACACATACATACATACATACATACATACATACATACATACATACATACATACATACATACATACATACATACATACATACATGTACATACATACATACATACATACATACATACATGCATACATACATGCATACATACATACATACATGCATACATACATACATACATACATACATACATACATACATACATACATACATACATACATACATACATACACATACATACACATACATACATACATACATACATACATACATACATACATACATACATACATACATACATACATACATACATACATACATACATACATACATACATACATGCATACATACATACATACATACATACATACATACATACATACATACATACATACATACATACATACATACATACATACATACATACATACATACATACATACATACATACATACATACATACATACATACATACATACATACATACATACATACATACATACATACATACATACATATACATACATACATACATACATACATACATACATACATACATACATACATACATACATACATACATACATACATACATACATACATACATACATACATACATACATACATACATACATACATACATACATACATACATACATACATACATACATACATACATACATACATACACATACATACATACATACATACATACACATACATACATACATACATACATACATACATACATACATACATACACATACATACATACATACATACACATACATACATACATACATAACGAAATTAAAACCAAAAACAAACTGAGGAAGTGTTTAAAAATAAAATCCTAATTCTTCTGTAATATTAAGTGTTTTGATAGATTTAAGGTTAGAAATATTGTTTAGTAGCCAGGCTGGCGCCACCTAGTGCCTCCACTCAGTTTCATTTCTCTCCAGCGACTAAGTCAGGAATCAGAATACACTAGACGGTTCGCAAAAACCCTGGAAATGTGAGTTCAGGCACCAGCCAATCAGCGAAGAGCCATATATTCTGTGTTGGCAACGATTCCCGAGATCGAGGATTTAAAGCCGGAACAGAGAGAATGTTTGGTGAATTTTATCAAGAGGAAAGACGTTATTGCCCTTCTTCTTATGGGATTTGGGAAAAGCTTAATATACCAGTTAGCCCTGTTAGCGGCGCTTTACATACATCATAACCAAATAGCAGCGATTGGTTAAATTTTAAAAAAGTACCCACCTACCATCGAGTAAACAAATTCCAACGCTGTGTCATTTAGAGTTTAGAGATAATTCTTGATGTCTAGGATAATGATTTTATAAAGGGGTCTGGAATTACAGAATTTAGATTTATGGATATGAAATTTTTCTAACAGAATGACTAGGTTTACTAAATATTCAGATTTATATTGTTTATGATGGAAATGGGTGATTATACTTGAGCAGTCCAAATGAATTCTGACGGATGTTTTTTTCCAGGATAAGTGTTTCTAAATTTGACCAAAGTTCCTGAGATGGTGGATGGTTTCTTCGGTGCAATGTGTTTCAGTTTCCTTAAATTTGGCTATGAGTAAATTAGTAGGTTGTGAATAATTTTCCAATGTAGTTCTTTAAACACATCAGAGCACTTCCTGTATTACCAGATGACATCACAAGGTGGAGTTTTTCCTGTATGAGTTTGTGCGTTAAACAAAACACAACTCCAGGTCTGTTTGTGATGAAGAAACAACATTAAAACAAAAACAAAATATTGTAATACGGGCCCTTTAAGACGTGAAAGATCAATATTTCTGTTTACAAAGAACAAATGGAAAACTCTGATCGATTTATGTTATAATTTAATACCCCCCAAAATCATATCATGTCTCCTTTAAAGATTGTCTATTTTATGGGCACAGCTCGACTCATTTTTCATCTCCATTTTTTTAATCATCTTTTCACATTGTAAATATCACTGAAACCCCAAAGATATGTTTTCTGTGCGCACACTAAGGTTTTAATTATGTGCAAAAAATGCTCCTGCTGTTCTTTTTAACCTGCTCTCTGGCGCCCCCCAGTGCTGATGCTGGGCCTGTTCCTGTACTCGTGCTGGAGGAGACACAAGGGGCTGAAGGAGGGCGTGTACCATGTGTCTGCGCACCACGGCGAGTGGGAGGACATCCGAGAAAATGTACTTAACTATGATGAAGAGGGCGGAGGGGAGCAGGATCAGGTAAATATGCTATCATAATCATTCTGGCACTGGAAATTATTTTTGCAAAGATTTATGAGGCTGTTAAAAGCTCTGTAGTATGCAAAAATGTACTTTAGTGAACTTAAGTCATGTTGTAATCATAATTAATGTGGTGACACAGTATCGATATCGTGGGCTGCTGTATCGATATATCGCCAAGAGTATTTTTTTGGTATATTTTACTAAATTATTTTGTTACAGTGCTACAGTTTTGTTGCTTGTTTAGTGGAAAAAAAATCTCGTTTATGTGACACATTTGACATTTTCACTGTTTTGGTGATTAAAATTTGTTTTTGTTTGTGGTCCCGGTCAAGCAGAAGTAAACAGCAAGGCAAAAAATTCAAGTTAATGCATCTGATATAAAAATGTATTGAACAGATACATATGTACTCTAGTTTATGAAACTGTTTACCTTTTTTCTGTACCATTTTTGGTTCTAAAGTTACATATGTTTTAAACAGACCATGTATGAAACATGGAACAAAAAATATTTCCCAAATTTCAAAGACCTGCAAATCATGTAAATAAATTGATGTATTTCATCATATCTTGTGTGTGATCTTTGAACTGTTGATGAAGGTACATGATAAAAAAAAAAAAAAAGTATTTAAAATGATAAAAATTGAATTGAAAAAGGATTGACATATTTTATAGAAATAGTTTCCTTTCATTTTGAAGTAATATTAAAGTATTCAGAAGAAAAAAGCAACAAAATATGCAAAATCCTGCACCTTCTACTTGCTGCACAATTTTCCCTCTGTTACTTTTCCCTCCGTTACCATGAACTTTCTTAATAAAAAATCTCATTACTCAAAAAGTAAGAGGTTTTTCAACCTAATCTTGTACCATATGGTAGAAAACTATATGAAGCAAATATTCAAACCAGTTTGTTAAGGATATGTAAGTGAGAACCAAGAGTTATTGCTGTTTGGATTTATTGTCCAAAAAGTGCTGTATATTTCATTCCCTCCGTTACCGACATGAGTTTTTAAATTTTTTGTCAAGAACTTGAAAGAATATCACAGGTTTAACTTTACCCTGTTGGAGTGTAACTCTTTCCTACATTCTGATACTTTACTTATTTCAATAGTCCCTCTAGTTTCTGAATAAGAACTATTTGAATGTAAAAAATCTGCCCGTTTTTCCCTCTGTTACTGCTTGACCGGAAGGTTGTTTGTTTGTGTTTCATATTAACTTTGTGCAAAATGTGGTTTAAAGGTTGTATAGAGGATTTTTTAAGATAAGAGAAATAGAGCGACAGTCCTTTTTTCAAATGTTGTCCATGCGTGACACCACCTTCCTCCTCCACAGCTCCCTCAGTAGAAACACCTTCTCCCGCCTCCTTACTCCAGAAATCACGTTTACATCCAGTACGCGTTCAGAATTACTGTTGACGTGACCTGTCTAGAAGTAATTTAGCGACCGACGCGTCAGTTTTTAGATCCTTCGTCTGCTTCAGTCGCGCAATCGCTGGAAGGAATCTCCAAGAATCACCTCAGTTTGGCTTTGCTCCTTTTCCCCTTCTCTTCTTCTTTCGGCGATCTCGAAAACGGACTTTCTTTTGCGGCGAACTGGTCGTGGATTCTCGTCCACCATCGCAACAAACTTTGTGCGAACTGCGAGGAAGCAACAGTTTGAAAAAGCCTCTAAGAACCGCTGCATAAACCATGAAATCCCTGCGCACCGCGAGTCAGTTACACTAGAAACGTAGGAAGTTTGATTGACAGCCTAACAGCCAATAGAAAATGAGGTAGCCTTGTTTTCTATTGGCGGATGTTTATCTGACCTCACTATGTCCACAGTTGATAGATTTTCCTTCTTTTTTTCTTTTTTTTCTTTGGGTCATCATAATTACAAGGCTGCTGCGTCTCTGTAATGGTATTTTAAACTTTCATTGACAATTTGAAATAAAAAAAATAAAAAAGTCCTCCATACAACCGTTAACAAAGACCTTTAGTATCACAGCCATGATTTAGCCTTTATTTTTTCTTGAATTGTATCGAATCAATTTGAAATATATCGTATCAAATCAAAAGTGCACTGTATCGGTAGGTATGTATCGTATCGGCAACTTCTTAATGATACCCAGCCCTAGATATAATGTTATTACCTCATCAAAAACAGACCTGGAGTTGGGTTTTGTTTCATTCACACATGTTTGAGTAACATTTTATTATTAATCTGTCTATATTTATATCTATATATCTATATCTCCAAATATCAAAATGTTCTTTTCCACCTTGTGATGTCATGAAGTGGTATTTTTCAAGTTAACGTCTACATTTTATCTTTTGTTCAGTGGAGATTGGCAGTTCTAGATCTGAAATTATCCAAGTGATTCTAGTGAAGGTGTATTTTATTATGATACATATGTACAATATATACAGTATAAACACATAAAGCAGACATTCACGATCATTCATAACATAGTGGGGGAAAAAAAAAGAATGGAAACATAAAATAAAATAAATGATGGTAGATCAAACGTAATAAAGGAGACTACATGAAAGAGGCATCAGCGACTGATTCGGGGGAGGACATCTCCCTGTGTATTATGTCTTTGTATAGGTTGGTTATTGAAATGACTTTTTTACAGGATAACTGGTGAATAGATGGAAAACACATTTCCTGTATTAGCACATGACATCACGAGGTGGAACAGAGTGTTTTCTTAATTAAGGAATTAATTGTAACAGAGATCAGGAGATAGTGTAATATGAACTTAGAGTTTCATGAATAGGTTAAAGTGACGGGTTCGGAATTTTGGACATAGGACCTAATTTCCTAGTGAGCCAGAGTGTTGGAGACGTGTGGAGACACTTTTTAAAATATTCCATTCAGTCCTTGTATTTGCAGAGGTCACTGGTGCTAGACTAGTGCATGTCAATGGCCATAGTTATCCTGCCACTAAAAACAGTCTTACCACACTTCCACAAAACACCTGAAGTAAAACTATTATTACACCAGACTGTCTATGTAAATGTCTGTGTTGACAGAATAATGTTTGAAATAAAACTAATCTTGCATCGCATGAATCGTCACATGTTGAGGGACTATTTTCTCATATATCAGTCCACCGTTGCCAAGCTTTCTGTCAGGAAGTACAACTCACTGCTGCTGCTCAGACATAAATCCTTCAAATGCAACGTTGGTTTTACTTCTTAAATTATTCTATCAACACAAACATTCACATCGACAGTCTGGTGTAATAATAGATTTGTTTTGGGTGTTTTGTGGAGTGGGTAAGACTGTTTTCAGTGGCAGGATAACTATGGCCATTGACATGCACTAGCCTAGCACCAGCGACCTCTGCAAATACAAGGACTGGATGGAAATTTTTAAAAAGCGTCTCCACACGTCTCCAACACTCTGGCTCACTAGGAAACGTGGCCCTATGTCCAAAACTCCGGACTGCCCCTTTAATGTCATACTGTGGAACATTCCAGGCACCGCTATGACATCTTTATGGGCAGCTACACATTAAAAACCCGCCCAAATCCTGCAAGTGAACGAGGCTAGAATCCCACTGAACCCAGGAGTCAAGTTAGGACATCACGTAACACCATTCCCATTGTAGAAGCGGCTAACGTCTTACTCGGAGTAAATTAATATTCTGAAATGGCTCCAGTCGACAGAGGAACTACCCAAACACCCCATCTCCCCGCGATCCGCTGAAAAAGGAAAGAAAAATACTACTAAAAGCAACTAAGTAAGTGGTGAAGAGATCAAGGATGCGCACTTGAGTTCAAAGTTTGCAGACTCTTTTCTTGATCCCTTTAAATGTGCTTAAATTCCCCCATAGTAACCAGCTCTGACAGTTTCAGGTTATACATTATTCCAGTTTGATGGGGCAGCATATTTAAAAGCTTTTTTCTGCCCAGCTCCACTCCCACTCCAGGGAACTCTATTTATAGTGGAGTCTGAGAGAACACATTAATTCATCCTTTAACTGCACAGTTAAAAGTGCGTTCATGTGAAATCCACTTATCATTTGTATTGGAATGTATAGATTAAAGAGCTCGTATTATTCTGTTTTCCGACTTATGATATAATGTTGTTTCCTCTTCACAAACAGACCTGGAGTTGTGTTTTGTTTCATTTACACGTTTGAGCACTATATTTTTTGGACTATAAGTTGCTCCGGAGTATACGTCGCACCATCTAAAAAATGTGTAATGAAGAAGAAAAAAAAAACATTTATAAGTTGCACCGGAATATAAGTCACACTTTTTGATACTTTATAAAATCAGACACAAGGAACTGACATTTATATTAATAACAATAGAACAGACAACAGACTATTTCAGTTCTTCTGATAACTACAGCATAAACAACAGAACAAGTTTACCAAACTCTCCATCTCACTCCAAATCACTAAATCCATTCAATTCTTCATCCTCTGTGTCACTTCTGAGCAACTCCACGACCTCCGGAGGTAAACAGAGCGCCGCTTCGTCTTCTGTGTCGCTGTCGTCAGACTCAGCATCAGTTCCAGTTACAATTATTCCGGCCTTTCTGAATCCCGACATGATGGTTCCGATTGTCTTTATGTTTATTTAACTTAAAAATTTTCAGTGGTACAGAATTTATGGTGCGATCTGACATGACACAGACAGGACAGAGGCTCTTTCTGCAGGAGACATGCGCAGTAGAGTGAAGTGACAGTGGTACAGGAGGAACAGGAGCAGCAGATAAAGACACACAAGACTAGAGCCTCTTGCGGATTCAGTGTGAAAATTTTAATACATAAGTCTCACTGTAGTATAAATCGCAGGAAACACCCAAACTATAAAAAACTGCATCTTATAGTCCGAAAAATATGGTACTCCTGCATTATTAGTCTGTCAACATTCCAAAAGCTCAACATGCTCTGTTCCACCTTGTAATGTCATTTAGTGGTAGTTTACAAATGTAGTTCAAAGTTTGCTTTATTGTCATTTTCTTCACAGACATACAAAAGAATTGAAATCACATTTCTT